GAAGATTTCTGCCAGGTCCCATGTTAGGTACCAGAGATGGAACAGTCCCTAAGACAGACATAGTTCCCAACAGATCACACTCTCGCTGGGGCACACAAGTAAATAACAATTGTAGTGGTGTGGTAATAAGTGCTTTGGGGTAAGGCACACAGAGTGTTAGAGGGGCCAAAAGGAGGAAACTTAAGCCATACTTGTTTGGTTGGAAAAGGCTTAATTTAAGAAGGACTTAGAAGTTGAGACCTGAAGGATGGATGAGGAGGAGTAAGCTGGGTAAAATCATTGGGTGGGTGGGGGAGGGAGAGGCCAGAATATGGGTGAGCCCTTTAGGAGAGGGGTCCAAGGGATTTTGCTAGTCCTGTAGGCCAAGAGAATGGAAGCCATTAAGGTGTTGTTTTTTGGTTTTGGATTTTTTTAAAAAAGGCTTTATTTATTTATTTGACAGAGACACAGGAAGTGGGAGAGGGAGAAGCAGGCTTCCCACCAAGTAGAGAGCCCGATTCGGGGCTCAATCCCAGGACCCTGAGCTGAGCAGAAGGCAGACGCTTAACTGACTGAGCCCCCCAGGTGCCCCAGCTGGTCAATTAAAGTGTTTTAAGTGGGAGAGTGACATTCAAGTTTGTATTTATAAAATTCACTAGAATCGAAGTTAGAATCGGTAGAAATAAGGTCGCTTGATAGAAATAGAGATGAGTTTGAAGGCAAATAATGTTGACTTTGAACCAGAAAGGTCTTCCAAATATGAGTATCATTTATTGCAGAGGGGACTAGGCAAGAGAGGAGCTGGGATCCAGTGAAGTCCCTCTTTTTTCCTGGAAAAACAGACGGGGCATCTGGGTGGCTCAGTCAGTTAAGTGTCTGACTCTTGATTTTCAGCTCTCAGGTCATGAGATCGAGCCCCATGTTGGATTCTGTGCTGGGTGTGGAGCCTGCTTAAGATTCTCTCTCTCCCTAAAAAACAAAATAAAATAAAGAAATAAAAGTAATTAGGATTTTCAAAAAAAGAAAAACAGAATTTGTCATTCGTGAAAAGTGTATGAAGGGAGAGGAGTCAGAACTCCGCAGTGTCCAGCTTCTGGCCATCTTTGAAAAGAGTAGGTCTGATAACTTTTCCTACAAAGGCTCTTACCTGCTCAGGACTGTGGTGTTTCTAATTTGACCCAAGCACAGGTGATGTATAGAATCTGGGGTTTCCCAAGAGTAATAAAATTGTGGGGCATTTTGAAATATGCAAAAAATACATTGCAATAGCAATTTATCTGCTAGACGAGGATAGGTGCACATGAGGATTTCACTCAAAGATATAAAAACTGGCTTTTCTTTGTTCCTGGTTTTTTCTTTTCTTGACAGGATGGTGATATTATAGCCCCACTTATAACACCTCGGAAACTGGAATGGAATAACACGAATTCAGCCCAGAGCCCAGATCACTTGCGGGAAGTGTCCAGATCTAGACATCGTCTTTTTCCAGATGACTCAGTGTGAATGTTTGCAGCCAGTTCTTTACATCAAGTTTCTTCCCTGTCCCCCAAGAGTATTAACTAACGTAGGGAATTCGGTCATGGAGTTCTACAAATTTAGTCATAACTAGCGCTTTTTATATTTTGAATGTACGCACATGCTGAAGCTAAGTAATTTTTATCCAAAGAAACAAAGAGGTATTAGGCAAATCTTGCTATACATGCTATGGAAAGCGTTACCTTGCCTATTTTAACCATAACTAAAGCCTTTCTCTAGTAGTCTTATTTTCTTAGAATAACAAAAAAAATTTTTTTATGTACTCTGAACTGTTATGACATATGATTGTTCTTTTTTTAAAAAAATGCTTGGAAATGAGAGATAGTGTACGTAGGAATTTGAAGTTGGGACTGTCATGAACAGCCATGGTTAAGAATGAAACATAAAATCCTAGCCCCTTGAGGGAGGTACCCATTGCCTCAAATTTGAGGACAGTTCTTCTTAAGTGATCTGAATGTTAGTGAAGGACCTTCCCTCACCCTTTTAACCAGATTGGACTAAACAGTAGGAAATGAGGGCTGGGAGTGAGCTCCAACTTCTGAGTGAAAGGCATGATTAATTTTTTGAAAAGATCCAAGGGCTCTGGACTTAGTGGTACCTAAAACTGCCCGTGAGGGGGCTGTTCTCTGGGTCAGTTACAGCCCCGGACCTGGGCAGTTTCTTTCTCCTAAATACTCACTATCCATGTCCCAAGGTCTTTATCACTATCACTGCTCAGCCTTGAGAAGGCTCCCCTCTGACCTTCTGTCTGAATTTCCCTTGTAAGCTCATCAGGGTCACAGGAAGCGTTCTTGGGGTTACACAGAGCTGGGATTTTGTTTTTGCTTGTTCAGTTGTGCATTTTATCAGTTTCAGAGCAAAGACTGAGCCGCCTGGGGTGAGATGAGTGATTATCCCTGGAATTCCAAGTTCTCGTCTGTGGCCCAGTATTCCCCACGCTTGCTTGTTCTCTACCTCCTGCCATGTTTTAGGCACCACTTTGGTTGAACAATTCCATGGAGAGGGCCCCCACACCCACCTCCATAAACACACAATTGCCAGTCCTACAGAACTTCACCAAGAACAAAGTCTGGAGTTAGACCCAAAGCTGGCGGTAGCCAGTTGGTTCTGTAGAAACAAGACAGTGGGGAACGGGAGTCATATAAGCCCTTAACATCTTATGCTTGGATACTCCTTTACAAAACCTCTATGGCAGGCCAGGACTGGGGAGCTGGGATGACTGTGGGCAAGAGCGAGTGGGAGGAAGGGAGGAACTCAGACCACAGGCAGCAGATTATCCACAAGTGTTAGGAGTGCTGCTGCTGCCTTCCACTGTGTAACCAAGTTCTGTTCTGTTAACAATAGGCAGAAAAGTCCTAGGAAGCCCGCCATTCTGTGTAACTACCACCACCCTCCTCCATCCCCCAATAGATGATCAAGAGTTGACCCTAATTTATAGGAGAATAATGCTGTGTGGGTGAGGATATGTCCACACTGGGCTCCTAGAAGCACAAGTGAAGTCAGCCATGGGACTGGGTCATATCTGTGTTGGCCGAGGTACCACTGAAACATTCATTGGGGAGAACTGTAGGGCTTAGACTTAGTGTATCCAGACCCAAGGTCAAGAATGTAATGTTTTTCTGCTAAGATTGTTTTATTTCTGCAACTGGTATCTTTAAATCATTGTGGTTTACTCTGGAATTTTATGTTTCAACATTGTATCATTGTGCTGAGAAGTAACTTGAATCTACTTTGCATCCTTCACCTATAAGTCAGCTGCACTTTATGCTCTTTGCAACTGTTTTAATTATCAGAACCATGTGCCATTTACAAGGTTAAAATTTTCTTAACAAACACCTTCACTATTTGTATAAAAACTGAGATTTTTAACGACTTAACCTCTAGAGTTACTGACCTGTTGTCACCTGGAGAATGGAAGAACTGCGAGTTTAAATGATGGGTTACTTCATTTGGGTGAGGGAAACAGCTGCAATAAAGCTCCACGAATGTATCTCCATCTTGAAACCGAAGGTATTTTCCTTAATGACGTCCTCTCACACTTGTGTGCCCAGTCTGGACTCTGTTGTGCAAAGGAAATTGGTCTAGGGATCTGCCAAGATGTGTGCTATGTCCATGCTATGGTTGGTTTGCAAGAGAAGGGATGATATTTAACAGGACTTATGTTATTTGGTTTTCTGGCAGGAGGCAGGCATTGTCATGGGAAGGGATATGGATATTTCTTCATTTCCTGAACTCTTGTGTCAGGAAACATAACTTTCCTCCTTTTTAACCTGCCCTAGGTTCCCATCTACAGAGACTCCAACTTCTTTATCCAAATAGGCATATCTTTCATTTGCTGCTTTCATATCTTCCTTGTGAAACTAGAGATTTGCAAGCACCCAGTATGCGGGTGGCCTACAAGAAGCCTTCAGTGTTCTAGAAAAAGAAAAATGCTACTGGAGTCTTTATTAGTTTCACCAGTTGAGCCCAGGTGTCTATGGTTGACAGTATGAAGTTAAAATTATTTCTAAAACATCCAGAATAGAATCCCATTTTCTTTTCTCTCTCTCTCTCTTATTTTTAAGATTTTATTTATTTATTTAAGAGAGAGAGCATGCACTGGAGTGGGGGAGGGGGAGGGACAGCCAGAGGGAGAAGCAGGCTCCCCATGAGCAGGGAGACCAACATGGGACTCAATCCCAGGACCCTGGAATCATGACCTGAGCCGAAGGCAGCCACTTAACCGACTGAGCCACCCAGGTGCCCCTAGAATCCCATTCTCATAAGAGATGTGTGTGTGTGTGTGTGTATGTATATATATGTATATATGTATTATGTATATATATGTGTGTGTGTGTGTGTGTGTGTGTGTATCTCCATGGAAAATTGTCTGGAAGGGTGTATGTGAAAATGAAAATGTTAGGGTTTTGGGGAGTAGTTGACTTTTAGGCAATTTTAATTTTTTTAAAAGTCCTCTGTTTTTTCTACAATCGACATGTATAATTTCTTTTTTTTTTTTTTTTAAGATTTTATTTATTTATTTATTTATTTATTTGACAGAGAGAGAGAGAGAGAGATCACAAGTAGGCAGAGAGACAGGCAGGCTCCTCACTGAGCAGAGAGCCTGATGCAGGGCTCGATCCCAGGACCCTGAGATCATGACCTGAGCCGAAGGCAGAGGCTAACCCACTGAGCCATCCAGGCACCCCAGTTGTGTAATTTCTAAGAAGAAATTTCAGTGGGGTGGCTGGCTGGCTCATGTCAGTGGAACATGGGATTCTTGATCTTAGGGTCATGAGTTTGAACCCCATGATGGGCATGGAGCCTACTTTAAAAAATAAATAAATAAAAAGAAATTTCATGAGGCTCTTTGTGCTGTTCAGATGAGGTGTGAGTCCCTTTCACTCCTTCAGTCACCTCTACCGGAGAACATAGCTTGCTTGCAGGACTGTCTCGGGTCCCCAGGCCGTGAGGAGGTCTGGTCATAGCCATAGTCAACCAATGGGCAGCCCTCACTAAGGAGGGTCCAGAAGGCATTCATGAGCAGGTCTAAGCATTTGTTGCTTCAGGAAGCTACCCACCACGGGGTCTTCAGCTCAGGACCCAGGCCTCCAGCTCCTTGATGCAGAACTGCTCTTGTCGGGCCAGTACCTCATTATTGAAAGTTGCACAAGGGTGGCTTCCCCCACGGTACAAGTCTCCATCCAACCACAGCCCAAACTGGCCACTAAAGAGAAGAGAAAAACCTTGGCATGACTCACTCCTGGATGTTGGTCTTCTAAGTCTACACCATCAGCCATTGGCCTCACCACGACCACAGCACAGTTTTGCCTATTTCACCTTCCCTTAAACCAATTTATATCCAGAATTGTTGGGAACTCCACCTGTTGTTCCCCATAGGATTTGGAGCATTTTTAAAAATAGTTAATTTTTTTTTTTTTTTAAGATTTTATTCATCTAGGGGCGCCTGGGTGGCTCAGTGGGTTGAAGCCTCTGCCTTCGGCTTGGGTCATGATCCCGGGGTCCTGGATCAAGTCCTGCATCGGGCTCTCTGCTCAGCAGCAAGCCTGCTTCCTCCTCTCTGCCCACTGTGATCTCTCTCTCTCTCTCTGTCAAATGAATAAATAAAATCTTTATTAAAAGAAAAAAAGATTTTAGGGGCACCTGGGTGGCTCAGTGGGTTAAAGCCTCTGCCTTCGGCTCAGGTCATGATCCGAGGGGCCTGGGATCAAGCCCCGAGTTGGGCTCTCTGCTCAGTGGGGAACCTGCTTCCCTTCCTCTCTCTCTGCCTGCTTCTCGGCCTGCTTGTGATCTCTGTCTGTCAAATAAATAAATAAAATCTTTGAAAAAAAAAAGATTTTATTCATCTATTTGGCAAAGACAATCAAAGAGGGAACACAAGCAGGGAGAGTGGGAGAGGGAGAAGCAGGCTTCCCGCCAAGCAAGAACCTTCCTGCAGAGCAGGGACCAGGACCCTGGGATCATGACCTGAGTTAAAGCAGACACTTAACAACTGACCCACTTATCTGACCCACACATACACACGTACACAGGTGCCCCTAAAGTTAAATGATTTTAATAAATATATACAGTGGTGCACCACTGTCCACAGTCATGTTTTAGAACATATGGAACATTTTAAAGATGGCTATGCTTAAACAAAGGAGTGACTCTTAAGGCACGGACTCAGCCCAAAACACTTCAGAAAGCATCCATTCTAATCCTCCCACTGGACAGCAAACCGGGCTGCGGCTGGGAAGTAGGTTACTGCAAATCAGCAATGGCTTGTATGTTCTGTGACAGACTATCTCCGTAGAGACTCTTCAGGGCGTTGGGAGGGCAAAGAACTTGCCTGGTACTAGTCAAACACTGCTTTCATCTTTGCCCTTGAGATAAGATTTATTCTGCCTGAATCTGGGGGTCTCACCAGGAGTAAGGCTAACTTTTTCTTCCTAATGATGAGTGGTCATCTGCCCAACACATACACATGTACACACGCACGCATGTACGCGCGCACGCTGGTTTCTTGGGCAGATGCCTGCCTTCCTCCAGTGAGTTATGCATCCTGATTTAGGCTCCCATCCCTTGACTCTAGCCTCATCCAATCATGCAGAATGCTGTTGCCCAAATCACATGCACTCAGACTAAGCTGTCATCAACTGTAAAGACGTTGGAGGATAGTCCACGCCATCCTTTCCCCTCAGTGTTTAGAGGAGGCTTGAGGGGTTTGGCTGGGGGACTAGGCAGCACCCAGGCAGTGTTGAAGGGAGAGGCCTGGAAATTTACCATCAGCCTCCTCTGGGGCAGCCTAGCCCAGCCTTTCTGGATGGGAGAGGGACCAGAACCCCGACTACCCGAAGACTCCAGACCCTGGGAGGACTGAGACACAGACCTGCTGCTGCCCATCATCAGTGAATCCAAGTCTCCTTTCACAAAGAAAGAGTTGCTTCCTGTCCACTTAAAGACCTGGGATGACAGGAGAAAAGCTGGGTTACTGGGTGAGTCCTGCCCTTGCAGTTTGACTCTGCACCACTGGGTGGCAGTGTCGTGGAGGGAACGGAACATTCAGGCCCAAGCCCCAGCTAAGCATCAAGAAGCACCCGGGCCCCTGACAATATTTCTTTCCATTTTCCCCAGATTTCACCTCTTGCCTTCCAGTCTGAGTTCCCACAAGGAAGCATCCTGCTTCCAAAGCTGGAGAGAGAAGGGGGAAGGTCCCGGTCCCGGTCAGGAGCTGGGCCCTGATTCTGCCATGAGCTGTTTCCTCTTCTCTCCCTGGAGCCTGTCCACTTCCACACACTGCCTCATGATCCGTTCCTGAGCAGGTCATGTGGGCCCCACCCCAAAGACACACCCAGACTACCCCCATTTCTGTCCTGTCCATGTCCATCTCCACTCGTGCCCACCCAATCCCTGCCAGTCACTCCTCACTAGCTCACAGCCGCCTTACACGTCCCTGCTTCCAGTATCCTGCCCACAGCCCATCTCTGCTCTGATCAGATATTACCATTCCTCTGCCTAAAGCCCTCCGAGGGCTCCCCACTGCGATGGAAATACAATCCAACCCCTTAGTCTAGCTGGAAGCCCAGACTGCTCTGACCCCTGCTTTCCTCTCTGACCTCTCCTCCCCCTACTGACTGTACTTCGGCTATACCAGCCTTGCTGTTCCTGGGACACCCAAAGCTGTTCCTGCTACAGGACCTTCACACTTGCTGATCCCTCTACTGAGAACGATTTTTCTCCAAATCCTGAAATGGCCCACTTCTCATCTTTCAGCCCAAATGTCCTCTCATAGAAGTTTCCTGGGTTACCCTGTCTAAAGTAGCCCTTCCTCCCAGGCCCTGTTAACTTTTCCTCAGCATTTAGCACTCTTAGAGAGGACTCTGTTCATAATGATGTTCCATTATTTGATCCACCTGTAAGCTGTCTGGATGCCCAGCAAAATTCCCAAGGCATGGTAGAATGCCTTGGTCTGTTGAATGAACAAATTATTCAAGAGTCAATTTGACCAATAAAAATAGTTTTAGAGGGCCACAAAAGTATAGCATATTACTGCCTGTAATTAGCTGTTTAAAAAAATGCTATGAGGGGGCACCTGGGTGGCTCAGTGGGTTAAAGCCTCCGCCTTGGGCTCAGGTCATGATCCCAGGGTTCTGGGATCGAGCCCCACATCGGGCTCTCTGCTTAGCAGGGAGCCTGCTTCCTCCTTTCTCTCTGCCTGCTTCTCTGCCTACTTGTGATCTCTGTCAAATAAATAAATAAAATCTTAAAAAAAAAATGCTATGAGCAGCTGAAAGATTTTTAGCAAGAAAATAGACTAATAAAAAAATAAGCCCTGGGGCGCCTGGGTGGCTCAGTGGGTTAAAGCCTCTGCCTTCGGCTCAGGTCATGATCCCAGGGTCCTGGGATCGAGCCCCACATCGGGCTCTCTGCTCAGCGGGGAGCCTGCTTCCCCCTCTCTCTGTCTCTGTCTGCCTCTCTGCTTACTTGTCTTTCAAATAAATAAATAAAATTAAAAAAAAAAAAGCCCTGGGCTCACAAGAGATGAGATAATATGAACAAGTGACCATGAGAAGACAGAATCATTCAATTTCTTCTCTACTTTCACTGAAGATTGTGACCTTCAGACTTGAAGGAGTAAGATAAACATTGCTACGGAAGAAACGAAGACCCTGTTTGTGGTGCCATTTGCAATCGCTGTCAAGGAGCCACTGAGAATTCGTAAAGAACACAAGAGGTGCCAAAAGAAGACAGGCAAAGATTACCCAATTACAAAACAAAACAAAACAAAAAACAGGATTCCAGCATGGGGCTGGGAAAACAGCCCCTGTTAAAATAATTCATTTCCCGCGCTTGGGTAGCTCAGTTGGTTAAGCAACTGCCTTCAGCTCAGGTCATGATCCTGGAGTCCCAGGATGGAGTCCCACATGGGGCTGCCTACTTAGCAGGGAGTCTGCTTCTTCCTCTGACCTCCCCTCCCCCATGCTCACTCTCTCTCTCTTTCTCTCTCTCTCCCAAATAAATAAAATCTTTAAAAAAATTTCATTTCATTCAACAATTTTTTTTTTTTTAACATTTAGTACCAGTCATTGTTTTATGTACTGGGTAGAATGGTGAATATAACAGACAAAAATTCCTGCCTTCATGGGGCTCCCATTCCAGTAGGTGGAGGCAGGTAACTAAGTAAAATAAATAGTATGTTGACAAATGCTAAGGATAAAAAAGTAGAGAAGGACAAGAAGGGTTTTCGAAGAATGGAGTGTTATAAGTTTAAATTAGTTGGTCATAGAGAGCCTCTCTGAGATGGTGACATTTGAGCGGAATCCTAAAGGAGGTGAGACCTGAGCCATGTGGTGATCCGGTAGAAGGCAATCTAGGCAGAACAGCGTGTGCAAAGGCCCTGAGGTAGGAGCAGGCCTGCATGTTTAAGGGCCAGCTCAGAACTCAATGTAGCTAGAGCAGAGTGAGGGAAAGGAAAAATAATAAGAAACGAAATAAGAGGCCAGAAGATGTAGGGTCTTGTAGGTTGTTATATATATTTTTAAGATTTTATTTATCTGAGAGAGAGCAAGAAAGAACACAAGACAGTGAGGGAGTAGTGGAGGGAGAGGGAGAAGCAGGCTGAGCAGGGAGCCCGATGTGGAGCTGGATCCCAGGAACCCGAGATCATGGCCCAAGCCAAAGGCAGATATTAACCAACTGAGCCACCCAGACGCCCCAGGCCTTGTAGGTTATTATAAATACTGGCTTTACTCCAAGAAAGGAAGCTACTGACAGCTTGGAGCAAAGGAGTGACATGCTCTGACTTACCTTTCAAAAGGAACACTCTAGGGGTGCCTGGCTGCCTCAGTCTGTTAAGTGTCTACCTTCAGCTCAGGTCAGGATCCTGGAGTCCTGGGATTAAGCCCACATCAGGCTCTCTGTCCAGCAGGGAGTCTGCTTCTTCCTCTCCCTCTGCTTCTCCTCACCTGTGCTCATTCTCTCTCTTTCTCTCTCTCTCTCTCTCTCCCTCCCTCAAATAAATAAATAAATAATCTTTAGGAGGAAGAAAGGAGCACTCCAGCTTTTGTGATGACTGAGGTGGAAGCAGGGAGACCCTTTTAGGAGGGGTATGGCAGGAACAAGGACAATAATTGTGCCAGCTTGAACCAGGAGACACCAAAGGACGTGGTGAGAGGTAATGGGTTCTGGATATAGATAGAGAAGACAGAGCCATCAGGATTCATTGACAACTCAGGTGTAGAGTGTGACAGATAGGCATCAAAGACCCCCAAATTTTTGGTCTCAGTGGCAGGAAAGATGGAGCCATTAACTTCATCGGGGAAGATGGCAGGAGGGGCAGATTTTGTGGGGGCAAGTCAGGAACTCAGTTTGTGACTTGTGAGACTTGAAATGCCAGACTTGATGCCCAAGCAATAACTCTGGGTAGTAGTTGGATACATGTCAGTTTGGAGTCCAGGGGCAGAGGCCATCAGCACGTGGATGGCATGCACAGTGGTGAGAATGGATGAGACCTTGAAAGAAATGAGGGTAGAGAAGAGACAAGAACCAAAAACTTTGCTTTGGGACCCTCTGACGTCCAAATGTTGTGGAGGTGAGGAGGAACCAGCGAAAGACTCTGCCAAGGAGTAGTCAGTGCAGCAGGAGGAAAATTCGAGAACTTTAGGATTCTAGTATGTGAATACAGGAAGGTGAGTGGTAATTGGAAGCCAGCATGTGTTTACTTGGAACAAGGGACCCCTTTCCTGTTTCCTGGAAAGATTTCCAGGCTGGCTGATGGAGACAATGAAATAGATACCTTGTGTTTTGCTTTTAGCAAGGAGTCCATAGGTGCTTGTGACCTCCTTGTCATGGAACCAATAATTGTGTTGCTGAGTATATCTGTAGGTCCATGCATTGGAGGGGAGGTCTCTCATAGCAAACAAAAACATCTGGAACTAGTTCTTCATCTTTTTTTTTTTTTAAGATTTTGTTTATTTATTTATTTGACACGGAGAGAGATCACAAGTAGGCAGAGAGGCAGGCAGAGAGAGAGGGGGAAGCAGGCTCCCCGCTGAGCTGAGCGCCTGATGCGGGGTTCAATCCCAGCACCCTGAGATCATAACCTGAGCCGGAGGCATAGGCTTAACCCACTGAGCCACCCAGGAGCCCCTATCTTTTTTTTTTTTTTAAAGATTTTATATATTTATTTGAGAGAGAGAGAGAGAGAGAGAAAGTGAGAGAGAGCATGAGAGGGGAGAAGGTCAGAGGAAGAAGCAGATTCCCCGTGGAGCTGGGAGCCCGATGCCGGACTTGATCCCGGGACTCCAGGATCATGACCTGAGCTGAAGGCAGTTGCTCAACCAACTGATCCACCCAAGCGCCCCTAGTTCTTCATCTGCTGAACAAATATTTCATGAGGGCATGCTATGGGAGTGCAAGGGGATATGTCCTCCCTCACACACTCTGACTCCCTACCCATTCATCTGCTGGGTTCCTAAATGGGCATTGTCCCCTTTCCAATTACTCTCTAGTTATTTGCTCCAAGAAGACTGCTCCCTTTTGCCCTTCAGCACCTGGTGATCTTGGTTGTCTATCAAGACCCGATTCAAGAAGCTCCTCTAGGAAGTCTCCTTGGATCTCCCCACCCCCGTTCCATACAGGCACTCCCCCTGCGTTTCTTCCACAGCCCTTATCCCTTTATATTGTGATCGAGTCTCTATAAGCCCGAGAGCATCTCCATCTGTTATTTAGAGAGGCAGCCTAGCCGTGGCTGAGTTCAAGCCCCAGTGCCTGTTTCTGCATCTCATCCCTACCACTGACTAGCAAGTCACTCAAGTTCTCTGTGCCTCCGTTTCCTCAATGCTAAGTGGGGCCGATAATAGTATGTACCTCAGAGGAATGTTGTCACGATTAAACGCGCTAATTTGTGAATGTCTCAGAATAGTGCCTGGCAGGTGGTACACTAGTACCCAGTTAGCTGCGACTATTTTTATGAGTAGTAAAAGTAGTGTGCTTCATGCCAAGCCTGCAACACTCAGCGTCTTATTCAATAAATAGCTCCGAGATAGAAAAGCTTTAAATGGGAAATGTCGGGGACTATCCCCCTCCCGCCTTCAAAAGCCCTGCTCTATGGCAGAAAGTACCCTCCGACTCCACCAGTCTTGTCTCTGTCATTCACCCATCTCCTAGTCACCAGTCACCATGAATTAGAGGCTTAAGATCTGCCTCACCATCCTTCCCTCCTTCCTCATTCTTGCCAGTGTCCTTGGTGAACTTCTCCATCTGCACAGACCCATCCTGTGCCTGCCTTCAGCACGCTTCCTTTTCCAGTGCAGGGGATTTCTTACCCCACCTCGGCCACTGTCCCCTCTGTCCACACCCAGGAACCTGTCCTTCCTGGTCTGTTTCCAATGCCCCTCTCTCTTGGAGCTTATATTCCAACACATGAGGCTCAGCTGGTGTCCTTGCTCCAAGTCTCTGACCACAAGGCCACCTGTCAACTGTTGTTTTCATCTTCGTCTCATTGTCCTTCAGTGTCCCTGGCTGTCCTTCCCCAACCAGTCCAGACTAGGTCCTGTGGTCCATTTTACATTCCCATTCCCTTCAACTTCTGCTTCCCTCTCTCCCTTGGTCACACTAGCTTGGCGAAAGCCCCATCCTGGAAGAGCCCTCCCAGCCACTCTCTCCATGCCAGAACCCGAGGAGCTGAACAGCTGGCGGAAAACACGTGCTCAGGGGATGAGCTTGCCTTTAAGTTGATGGTCCCTACCTCCAGTTCACGCTGCCTAGCTGTCCTGTTTCTCTGGTTCTCTCCAGGAGGCCTCCCTCTCCACTCCTGTGATGACGATTTGATGCCTTCTCTCTGCTCAGCCTGTACGCTCTCTCCCCCAACCTCTCTCTTAGCCGATGACCTCAGCCCCCACTTCATAAGAAGACTGAAGTCACTGGATGTGTCTGTCTTTGTCTTCCTACCTGTACACCCACAGATCTACCTGCACTTGGACCCATCTTGTCTTTGCAGCCTGTGTTGGGTGAGCAACACCCCTCTTCCTTTATGAGCCAGTCTGGGGTCACCAGGGACCTAGTGAGCACTGTAAGAAATGAACATAAACAGGGCCAAGGGGGATGCCCTGCCCACCACTGGCCTGTCCTGTTCCTTCTGTGGAAAGATGGAGGGATACCAAGCACCCCAGGATGGGGGATAGAGCTAGGGGCCACTGGGGCCACAGGATCTTTATAAAACCACCCCTCCCTCCTCCCTGGGAATTTCACCTTTAGCTGTGGGGAGAAGGAGAAGAGGAATGTCTCTCCGGTACCATAGAAGCCTTTGCTGAGTCGAATGGCCGAGGAAGAGAAGGCTCCAAACATCTGGAAAGCAGAAGAGCTTTGCTGTGCCAGTTGGCAGGGAGTGGAGCTTAGTAATATAGGCTTATCCAGCGGGGCACCCAGGGAGCCTGGGACAGAGCTGGGGGGTGGGAGGGCCGCATGGGCCCATCGATGCCTGTCCTTCCCTTTACTATTCCCCAAGGAAGAACTCTTACTGGCGTCTTCCTAGTTTTTCTTAAACGTGCTTATTTTGTAAAAGTAATCCTTGTAGAAAAGTATTAGAAGTTATAGACAAGCAGAGAGAGAAACTAAAGTCATTCCAATTCCCCCTTCTGCTCCGCAAGGTGACTTTAACGTTTTGCTGAGTTTCCTTCCAGCATCTGTTTAATGACAGTGTATATATTCTTTTTTTTTTTAAAGATTTTATTTATTTATTTGTCAGACAGAGATCACAAGTAGGCAGAGAGGCAGGCAGAGAGAGATGGAGAATGGGGATTTTTCTCATGTATGACCACAATACCAACATCTCACCTAAGAAAATTAACAGTAATTCCATAACACTATCTAGTATCCAGTTCCTAATACATTTTCTACATTGGCCCAAGGGTGCCTTTCATATCCTGCTTTAGGAACAAAAACTTGGGGCACCTGGCTGGCTCAGTCGGTGAAGCATGCAACTCTTGATCTTGGGGTTGTGAGTTCAAGCCCCACATCGGGTAGAGAGATTACTTACAAAAATAACGTCTTAAATAAATAAATAAAAATAAAAACAACACTTTTAATAGTTATGGCCCTACATCATCTTTCTTCCCAGCCCTTGGTAATAATAGTTCACTATGAAGCAGAGCCACAGTTCACTTGGCCATTTTCTCCCGTGGGATAGTTGATGGACTTTAAGTTTTCCCTCTCATACAGAGCATTGAGGGGCAGAGGCAGGACCACTGGGAGGCAGCCATGGGGAGTTGGTTTTGGCTTAATATAAGGAATCACCTCCATGGTCAGTGGCATTCTGCTAAGGAAGGAGCTCCATCTTGAAGACGTGAGCTCCGTGGCCTTGGGTGGAAGTTCCTTGATATTGGTGTCTTGAGACGGAAGGAGCGCCTGTGCACATGAGTGTCCTCAGGGGGCCCTCAGGATTTCTAACATGTTCCTCCCATGGAAGAGCAATTGAAACCAGCATTTACCTCCTCCCCTGGCCGCTGTCTAGAGAGCCTGGTGCCTGGCAAGATCCACACTCCCCACCCCCGGCCTTGGTGAGACAACAGGGATCTGAGACCATGCCCTCCCAAGGTTGGAGGCGACCTCCTCATAGCTGGCTTTCCCTCTTGGCCCCCAACTAACAGGGCGATGTTTTCAAGCATAAATGGTTCATTAAGGTGTAGAGCCCCTCTTGAGATGTCTCCCCAGTTGATTATTTGCTTCACCTCTGGCCTGCCTCCCTTGTAGGCCTGTAGCTCCAAGAGGGCTGGAACCACTTCTGTCTTGACCTTGCTCTCATCCACATCCACATCTAAGCTCACACATAGTAAGTGCTTAATGTACTTGAGTTGAATGGCTGAATTAGGGAAGGAAGGAAGGGAGGGAGGAAGGGCTCTGAACAGGGGAGGTCTCAATGTCTTCATCATTGTCCCTTGCAAGTGACAGGCTGTCACCTCTGCCTCCCACCCCTGAAGCTACCCTGGGGCAGGGCCCCCAGCGTGTGGTTGGGTGGGGCCAGGGCCCAGCTCACCTGCCCATCCTGGTCCCTCAGCACCAGCAGCACCGGCCCACTGTGGCCTTCCATCTGCCTGTACAGGCTCTGCAGGCTGAAGCCATCTCTTGATGTGCAGAAGGCCAGGCTCCAGGGATGTCCCATGACTCTTGCGGGGAGGTGGAGGCTGAGCTAGGAACAGGGCTGGAGGTAAGCAAAGGATCTGCATCCTTCCCCCTCTTTCCACCCTGCCCTCAGGGTCCCAGAAGGACTGAGGTTGAACAGGCCCCACTCACAAAGGCATGTGACGTTATGGGTACCAGAGGAGTTTACTGTTTCCAAGAGCCCATTAGAGAGGGATTATCATTCCCATTTTATGGTTGAAGAAAATTAGGCTCAGGGAGGTAAAGCAACTTGCCTAAAGGCCACATGGGGAGTAAGTGGCAGAGCTGGGATTTGACCCAAGGTCAGCTTTCCCTCAGGACTTCCTCCCCTTGGTCACCTTGGTCCCTAGAGGCTGGAGAAAAATGAGATGCTGAATCCCTCCCTCTAATCCTCCCTACCTCATCCTTCCACCTTCGCCCCAGGCCTTGGGACATAGCAGGAGCAACCCCAGGTGTCCTTGGACCTGGCTGGGGTAGGGCAGGAGGGCGGGACCCTAAGGCTCCTGGCACTGTGCCCGAACCTGCCTAATCTCCGAGGCTCCTAGAACCTGGCTGGCTTCTGCCAGCTGGGGTTCCACCAGATCTTCAGGAGCAGGAGCTGAGACCGGAGCTGGGGCTGGGGCTGTCTCCTCTTCCTCCTCCTCACCCTCCTCCACAGACAGAGCATCCTCCACCCGGCTGGGCTGTGAAGACACAAAGAGGGACAAGGAGACACCGGCTTCCATGTTTTCGGAGCCAAAAGCCTCAGCTGCCTCATCACCCCTGATCAGGCCCCAGCCACCACCAGCCCGGACAGAGGAGGCTGGTGCCCATGACTGACAAGACCCGCCCTGCCAGCCCAAGGTCAAAGGTGCACATGCCCATCAGATGTGGCCACCATGGACTCTGTGGTTTGTCTGCCAGCCCGCCCTAGATCCAGAGTAGACGCCAAGGATCAAGTTCGAAGCTCAGGGGCAGGGAGAAGGGCAGATGGCAGCCCGGCCCAGCCCAGCCCTGAGAGCTGCAGCCGTGTGTGTCTGCACTTGAAACAGTGATAATAATATCAATAATCCGAACAATAACAACGCAGACAGCGGCCAATGTCAATCAGTGCACCCTTGACCAGGCCTGGCTGAGTGCTCGCTGTGCATATATCTCTATATTTTCCCAAGAATCTTAAGAATGTTCTCCTTACTTTCCTTATTTTACAAAGAAAAGGAATGAGGGCCTGAGGCTTCCCTGTCAGCCAGGGAGACAATGCATGTAGCAGCTGAGAAAGCACGTGCAGGTCTGTGTGAGATGTGTGTTCGTCCGTGGGAAGGTGTGTATCAGCTTAAAATAGACTTGTGTTGGCAAATCAGTGTGAGAAGGTGTTGAGTAACTTTGTGTGTTTACCCATCAACATGTTGTGAGTGTGAGTTGGGATTGTATAAATAGGTGTGTGTCGGTGTGGATGTGGGTTGGCTCATGCATTCATTCAATCGAGCTTCCACTCTGTGCTAGAGTGTGTGTTTGAGGGCGTGTGCGTGTGTGTGTGCGTGTGTGTGTGTGTGTGTGTACACATGCACCTGCCCACAATGACCTGGGAACTCTTCCTAAGAAAGAGAGACCTCCTCCAGGATGAAAAACGACCAGGACACTGCTTTCCTATTCCCCAGGTTCAGGCCTAAGGAGGGGGTCTTAGCTGCATGGGGCTTCTGGACAGAGCTCCAACTGGCTGGAGCCAGGAGTCTGTGCTCTTGGGGGTCTCAGGACCATGGGGAAGGGGATCCAGGTCCCTGGGTCCTGAACTCTGAACTCCAGGGCAGCTAGAGAGGGACTTGGAAGGGGAACAAAGCACCCGCCTACATCCAATCCTAGCCCAGACCCCACCCTGCCAGAGATCTGGCCTCCCCAACTTTTGCTGGCCTGACCTCCCCAGCCCAAGCCGGGCCCCTTACCAGCCGAGTGTAACGCCAGCGGAGACCTTTCATTCTGTCCGAGCCAGGGCCTGGTAGGAAGAGTCCTGAGCTCTCCCAGGAGAGGAAGCAACTGTGGTTAAGGCCTAGAGATGAGAAGGAGAGGCCTGGGCACACCCTGCTAGCTCCTGGCCACCCAGCTGCCCTTTGCTCTCTCTTTCTCTCTCCCGTCACTCCCAGGATGAACCGTCACTGGGTAGGTCTGTGAGGTCACCTACCCTCAGCATTCAAGGTCTCATTGGAGTTAGCAAGTAACCTGTATTAATCATACCCAGTAAATTCTAGCTGATTCCCTTCCATCTCCTTAACCTTCTGGAAACTTGGCCTAGGGATTCTGGCCCTTTTGGGCAGATGCCTGAGCTCCACGCTGGGAGTCTGGAGTCTCTGGTTCTCTCTCTGACCTTGGATAAGTCCCTTGTACCCTTGGGCTTCAGTTTTCCCACACAAAACATGTTGGACCAGATCATCTCAGAGGCCCTCACAATGCTGACTGCTGGCAACTCATTTCCCTCTGAAAGCCAGTGGGTGTATTTTAACAGAAGCTCGAAAGGAGCCAAGCCTAAACCAAAAGAACAAGTGAACAAAAATCTTCATTTTTCTTATTTAAAAAGTAAGGCATGTATATTATAGAAAGTTTGAGAAACATAGAAAAGAATAAAGAGAGATAAAAAAATTCATAATTCCATCTCTCAGAGATAAACTCTCAACCCTTAACTGTATTTTTTCCAGTCTTTTTCATTTTATAAATTGCCTTTTCCACTTAAAAATGAGAATTTTCCAGTTACATTCAGCACCTTTTGAGCACATGATTTTTAATGACTACGTATTATCTCATCATAGGATGTATCATTTATTCCTTAACTGTTGGACATTTTGTTTGCTCCTAATTTCTGTGATTATAAGCAAAACTGTAGTGAAATTCCCTGCTCATAAATACAATTATATACTTTATGATAAACTTCAGAAGTTGAATGCTGAATCAAAGGGCATACACACAGGTGTTGTTTTTTTTTATTTGTTTGTTTGTTTTTTAAGTACTCTCAGCACCAAGCATAGGGTTCTTTTTTTTTTTTTAAGATTTTTTTTTTTTTTTAATTTGACAGATCACAAGTAGGCAGAGAGGCAGGCAGAGAGAGACAGGAGGAGGAGGCAAGCTCCCCACTGAACAGAGAGCCCGATGCGGGACTCGATCCCAGGACCCTGAGATCATGACCTGAGCCGAAGGCAGAGGCTTTAACCACTGAGCCACCCAGGCGCCCCCCAGCATGGGGTTCTAACTCACGACCCCAAAGTTGAGTGTTGCAGGCCACTGGCTGAGCCAGCCAGGCACTCCCATATAGTTCTTCTTCTTTTTTTTTTTAAAGGTTTTATTTAATTGGGCGCCTGTGCCTGGGTGGCTCAGGTCATGATTTCAGGGTAAATAAATAAATTAAATAAATAAATAAATAAATTTTAAAAATTTAAATAATAATAAAACTAAAAATAAAAAATTTTTTAGAAAGGTTTTATTTACTTATTTCAGATAGAGAGGCCAAGTATGAACAGGAGGCGGGCCAGAGGAAGAGGGAAAGAGACAAGTAGACTTCCCTCTGAGCCAGGAGCCTGACATGGGGCTCAATCCTAGGACCCAGAGACCATGACCCCCACCCCCCAAAGTCTTATGCTCAACCCACTGAGCCACCAGGAGCCCCCTATAGTTTTTTTTTTTAATAAATATTTATTCATTTGACAGAGAGAGAGATCACAAGTATGCAGAGCAGCAGGCAGAGAGAGAGGGGGAAGCAGGCTCCCCGCTGAGCAGAGAGCCCGATGCGGGGCTCGATCCCCCAGGACCCCCAGATCATGACCTGAGCGGAAGGCAGAGGCTTAACCCACTGAGCCACCAGGCGCCCCCTATAGTTCTTGATAATGTTTCCAAGAAGGAAGTCTTCCCAGCGCTTAAAGCTGACCCACCTTGAAGTATCTTTAGCGAATCTCGGGGAAATCTATTTCTGATCATCAAATATTATACCCTTAAATTACAGATAAGGAAATGACCACTCAGAAAGTGGAAGAGACTTACCATAGCCCCACTAGTATAACACAGTGGTGACAAGTACAGTCTCTGGAGTCAGGGAGTTCAAATCCTGGTTTTGCTACTCTCTTACTATGTGACCTTGGGCAAGTTAATTAACATCTCTGTGCTTCACTTTTCTCTTCTGTAAAATACTAATAACCACCTCATAGGGCTGTTGTAAGAGTAAAAGAAAATAATGCCCGGGGTGCCTGGGTGGCTCAGTCAGTTAGGCATCCAGCTCTTGGTTTCAGCTGGGATCAGCTGGGATGGAGCCCTGCTCAGTGGGGAGTCTGCTTAAGGATTTTCTCCCTCTACCCCTTCCCCCACTCATGCATGCGTGAACTCCCTCTCTCTCAAATAAAGAAATAAATAAATCTTAAAAAGAAAAAAAGATAATGTCTGAAGAACTAGGATGCTGGACCCAGCCTCCGTCCTTCTGTTAGCCATTCAGTGAGATAACCCAGAGCGTCCGGGGTTTGGTGAGCAGTGGGTAAATGACAGTGCATACCACTATCCCCCCTACACACCGCCTCTAAGAAATCCAGGGCGCAAATTCCTGACACATGGCCACTCAGTCTCCACCTGGGCTCTTCTGGGACAGATGGTCACGTGGTCATTAATGGGGGGAAGAAGTAGTTCAGTGGACAAGGAAAAGGCAGGAACTGTGGAAAAATGCACTTACACTGCAAAGCCTTGGCTTCTGGCAATCTCCCAGCCTGTCCAGCCCGAGGATTTCCTTAGCACATCTCCCCGAGAGACAGGGCCACTTCCAGAATGAACTCTTCCACCCGGCAGTCTGTCCAAAGCAGCTTTAGCTCTGCATCCTGGTTCCCCCCAACCCCCAGCAGCTGCAGCTAGCCCCTCTGCCTCAGCCAGGCTCCAGGTGCTCCTCCCTGGCTTTTATACCTGCCTCGAGGGTGGCAGCTCTGGCCTTGTGCCCACTCCCGTTCCAGTTGGGAAGCCTGGCGGGAAGCCTGGCAGTGATTATCGTCCATCAGAAACTCAAATCCCATAAACACACACAAACAAGACCTTGTCACCCTCTGACCTCCAGCTCTGCCCTCACCAGTTCAAGGGGATGGAGGACACTGACATCATAGCTGTCAGGTGCCACCCAGTGCCTGAAGCCTACCATGAGGAACTTTGCTTTATCAGGTACAAATGCTACAGGAAAGGGCAATGCTATGGGACTCTCTGTTGATCACCCTGCCCCGATGCTCTTGCGAGGGAAGCCCAGGGCTGGGAGGCAGAGAGCGGTCCTGCTCTGTCCTGCTTGTTTCCTCTCTCTCTGATGGAGTGAGGATTCTTTCCTCACTGGCCTATTGTGACAGTACATGAGATCATTCTCAGGTAGCCCAGTGTTTGGCACACAGTAGGCACTTTGCCCACAGGGGTTCTTTTTCTGTCCCTGGCTCATGGTAGGAGTCCATGAATGCTGTGTTGTCAAACCACAGAACCTCAAGTTGGAAGAGGCTTCAGCTAATCCCAGAATAAGCAGTCTTGACCCAGGGCAGTGTCCCCTGGAGAATATGTTCACCAGTGGTCTCCTGGCCTCTGCTGGGTGGGTGGCCCCTTGTCTCAGGAGGCCCACCTCATTCTCACACAGCTGAGAGTGTTCTCTTTTGCTGGGCTTTGCGTTGAGGACCTGAGTCCCTACATAGGCTGCCCAAGGCCAGGACTCTTGGAGCAATGCCCTCTCCAGGAAGGGTGGGGTGCAGAAAAGACTTGTATTATGGGGAAAACAGGCAAGTGAAGGGCCCTGTTGCCATCCCAAACATGGCTGTTGCACTATGTGTTTAAACTGTAAATGGTCAGGGGTCACACGTTTGGCTCTCTGAGCCCTCCTGGCCTTCTCCGGAACCTTATTTCCCCTAGGCTTAATGCCTGACCCATGGGGCCCTTTGAGAAGCCAGTAAGATCTGCCTTGCTGTCCCATTCTTTGTGCTCGTGTCCAGGAAAATCCAGAATGTGACCTGTCAGGGCCACCCATTGCCAATAATAGTCCCCCGAAAGCTCCCACGATGGGATCCTAGGCGCCAGAGTGCCAGACATCCCAGCTCTGCCTTGGAGCTTGCATTCTCCTTTCTTCTCCAGACCACATGCCGCCTCTCTCAGAGCGCCACTATTATTGCCAGGAAACAGTCTGAATGTCCAATAAAAGGGGGAAAGGTTAAGTGACCCTTGGAACATCCACTCCGTGGATTATTTCTAAGTATTAAAAGTGATGTGTACAAAGAGTTTATAAATGCACAGGGAAATGCCTCTGCACTCTGGTGAGTGGGAAGAGGCAGAACATAAAATCCTATGTGCTGCACGGTTTCAGCTATGGGAAGTACACTTGGCTAGAGTCCTTTCTAGAAAATACTCCATGCTTTCTGGGCGGGCTGGTTTCTGTTCTCTGAGAACTGAGGTCTTTGCGCTCCTTGGTTTCCTCACTCTCACCGGGTGACATTATTCTCCACTGAGAAAACCGAAGCCATCGTCTGTCACCCCCTCACCCACCTGACAGAAGGCCCTGCATCTCATTCAAGTCTTCCATCCTTTCTCCAGGACAATGGAGGTAAGGGCCCTGCTCCTTTCAAAAGCCAAGAACCCATCCCTCTATCCGTCTGTCCCTCTGCTCTCTCTCTTTCCATGTGACAGTCCCCTCCCCAAATGCCCCATTTCTCTTCTTCCTGCACTCCACCTCTATGTCCTGTTCACTTGTCAGTCCACTCCCTTTGGCTTCTGTCCCCACCACCCTGCCTCCCCACCTACTCAGTGTGGACTCCCTGACTATATTATACTTAAAGCGGGTTCCCCTACTAATGCCTCTAATTTTCCCACAGCCAGTGGTTTGTTTCTACCATGATTTGTACGATGAAAAGGAAAAAATCTTTAGTTTTTAAAAAAAAATCACCTCTTCTTTGAAGCCTTCCTGGATTTAGTCTTCCTTCTGTTTTCACCATGTTGGTCAATTTAGTGGCTTGAATGGGAGAAAATAAACTGCTTTTCCACTGGGTCACTGGCATCATTTCTTATAATCTGATGTCTAATTCTTATAATCATTTGATGCTTCATTCCTTCTTGGGTAGAGCTTCATGCAGCATACACTGTGTGCCTGAGCTGAACATTGCCCATTAGCGCAGCACAAGAGACTCTGAAACTGGATGAGCCTGGGTTCTAATGGGTCTCAGCTCTGCCACTTCCAAGCTGTGTGACCTTGGACAAGCATTCCAGTTACTCACTGCTGCGTAACAAACTACCCCAATACCTAGCGGCTTAGAACAACAATATTTATTTTGCAGTTTGGGACAGCTCATTTCTGCTCTACTTGGCATCCGCTGGGACAGTGCCAAGGCTGGGGGCTGAATCCTCTGAAGGTCCACTTTCTCACGTGTCTGGGGGTTAGCAGGGACCTGAACCACCGCTGTCGGCTAGAACACCTGCACTAACCTCTCCAGGAGGCCTGGGCTTCCTCCCAACATGGTGGCTGGGTTCCAAGGTGAGTGGATTAAGAGAAAGAGCTCGTGAGCACACGAGAGAACGCTGAAGAGATTTTTTTTTTTAAGATTTTATTTATTTATTCGACAGACAGAGATCACAAGTAAACAGAGAGGCAGAGAGAGAGGAAGGGAAGCAGGCTCCCCGCTGAGCAGAGAGCCCGATGCGGGGCTCGACCCCAGGACCCTGAGATCGTGACCTGAGCCGAAGGCAGAGGCTTAACCCACTGAGCCACCCAGGCACCCCTGAAGAGCTTTTTATGAGCTAGCCTTGGAAGTCACAGCATCACTTGCCACTGTCTGTTGGTGGAGGCAGTCACAAAGGCCTACTGAGGTTCAAAGGGAAGGGATATAGATCCCGTCCCTCAACGGGAAGAGTGTCAATATCACACTCTAAAAAGAACGATTGGGATGAGTTGTATATTGTTATACCTCTCTTTGGAAAATACAGTTAAGTACAAGGGGCTCCTAAGCTTGGGCATCTGGGTGGCCCTGTTGGTGAAGTGGCTGCCTTCAGCTCAGGTCATGATCCCAAGGTCCTGGGACTGAGCCCTGCATCAGGCGCCCTGCTCAGCAGAGAGCTTCTCCCTCTCCTCATGCTCCCCCTGCTTGTGTGTGCGCACGTGCTCTCTCTCTGTCAATAAATAAATTAAAGAAAAGAAAAGAAAGAAGCTCCTAACCTTCCCGAGATCCTCTACTGAAGGGTTGAGCGCAGAGCCTAGCCTAAGTGAGTGCCCAAGGGTCAGGACCACAAGTGTGGCCATGGGTTTGTTAGGAATGGCTAAGCTGGCCTGGACTAGCATGTCCCCTGCCTGGATTCACACCATCCGGCCTCTCCAAGCCCACATTCTGCATAGAGGAGAAACCGAAACACAGAGAAGGTAAACCATTTCTGAGAACTCACTAGCATTCTCTGTACCAGTCTACAAGAAATGGCGACATCAGAGCTAGAAGGACTCTGTCATCTGCTACATCAGACTAAATCAGGTGGGGACTCGGGGGCACAGGAGGTGGGAAGGCTTGCTCTGGCCCTTGTCCCCATGCCACACAACCCTACTTCATTTTTTTTTAAAAGACTTTATTTATTTATTTGACAGAGAGAGATCACAAGTAGACAGAGAGGCAGGCAGAGAGAGAGAGAGAGAGAGAGAGAGAGAAGCAGGCTCCCTGCTGAGCAGAGAGCCTGATGCGGGACTCGATCCCAGGACCCTGAGATCATGACCTGAGCCGAAGGCAGCGGCTTAACCCACTGAGCCACCCAGGCGCCCAACCCTTCTTCATTTAAAAAAAAAAGATTTTATTTATTTATTTGATAGAGAGAGAAATTACAAGCAGGCAGAGCAGTAGGCAGAGAGAGGGGGAAGCAGACTCCCCGCTGAGCGGAGAGCCCCATGCGGTGCTGGATCCCAGGACCCTGGGATCATGACCTGAGCCGAAAGCAGAGGCTTAACCCACTGAGCCACCCAGGCGCCCCAACTCTACCTCATTTGTAGTGAATCTGCAGTGGCCCATCTCCTTCCTATACTGGATGCTTCACGAGGTCAGGAAGGTACCGTGACAAGTCCACTCATTGTTCTACCTGGTGACTCTGGACTAGGCGAGTGGATGGTTGGGGGAACAGGGGAGCTGTGCTATGCCAGGATGGGTTCTGAATGCCCGGAAAGAAGGCTTTGGGAAGAACTTGCTAAGTGGCTCTGCTCCACAGGGTTCTGTGGGGGCGCCTGGAGGAAAATTCTGAGGGTGGAGGGGCACTCACACACCTGGACACACCTAGACCAGGACGAAGCCATGTCTCAGGTGAGAAGGCGCACCCCAGAATTCTCTGCTGCGAGAGAGGTGGGAAAGACACGAAGAAGCAGACCTGGTGTCAACCGATTGTCAAGGGCAGGAGGAAGAGAAGAAACAGGACTGGGAGGGGGAGAGGGGAGAGGAGGAAGGAGTAAAGGGTCCGGTGGATGAAAAGGGGAGGGGTAGGAACGGGGCGGGGTACGGGAGAGAAGCAAGTGCAGAAGGATAAACATAACCCTGCCGCCCTTCCCAGGGGGCAACGTGGTGCAGCGCTGAGGATGGGTGCCCACTCGTGGGGCAGCCAAAGAACTTAAAACCGACTCTGCATGGCGGTGGCTAGGTGACGGGGAGGAGAGCAGCAGCAGGGAGCGGGGGAGGGGACGGAGGAGGGGAAGGTGTGACAGACACGCGAAAATCCACAGCAGAGCCAGAAGCACAGCCCTGCAAGGAGAGAACGGAAACCCACCAGAGCCAGGGCTCTGGGCAGTCTGGGGTTGCTCAGGGGACGGAACGTGTGGGGATCAGGACAATTGTCTTTAGTCTG